GGGAGTCTAGCTAGATGTTGGAAATCTTGCCATCGAGATTTCTGAGTCAGTCAGGCTTTACTAAGGTGTTTAGCTGGTTCTGGGAGTCTAGCTAGATGTAGGAGGATCTCCCATTGAGATTTCTGAGTCAGTCAGGCTTTACTAGCGTAGCCAGAGATTTCTGAGTTAGTCAGGCTTTACTAGAGTAGCAATATTTCTGAGTCAGTCAGGCTTTACTAGCGTAGCAATCCGTGGAGCTATAGCTTAGCTGTTCTGGGAGTCTAGCTAGGTGTTGGAGAATCTGCCATAGAGATTTCGGTCAGGCTTTACTAGCGTAGCAATCCGCTACAATGCAATCGAGTCAGTCAGGCTTTAATAAAGTAGCAATCCGCTACAGACGAGATGAAATTTAGAAGGTAGGGTCATAAATCTTAATTCAAATTAGGGCTTCTCTTCATCGCGAAAGTTAACATGAAAACGCCACAGTAATTTGTTTTGAACAGCTTTTTTATTTTACAATTATCCAATAATGTAGTAAATTCTAGGTCATAAAAACGAACGCTTCCATTTAAATAAAGAGCAGAGAGTGATATTACCCATCTCTCCACAACCACTATCAATCATTTTAACATGCAAATTCAATATGGCAGCTTTCTCTCGATACCAGAGGAATCCAAACTCGTTTGCAATAGGGAGCAAGTACTACCAGATTTCGCATTTCCAGATAATTTGTTGTTTATCAGTCATTGTTAAAGAAGAGTAGGTGAAAGATTGTCTGAACTTCCACAACAAGATGGGCAAGGTGGTAGATATGGGCCGTTTTCATCGAGAGGAGGATCAGAGATCAAGATGGGGATGTGGGGTGGGGGGGGGGGGGATGTACGGTTGTGTTCGTATGATTACATATGGAGAAAGGTGAAACGCACCTTTAAGTAAAGTGGAGGCGATTGGAGACGTGAGGAATTCGGTTGAGCCCTGCCAGTAGTGGCTACTCAAGTAAATTTTTGAAGCAATCTGGCTGAATCGATGAAATAAGGGCTTGAGTTGAACTTCGATATCATTGATATTTCCTTTGGCGGGTAAACAGATCATACCAACCTACCTGAGCAGGATAAATGATATGTAAAAGAGGTTGGGAGGAGGGAGGAGGGGGGGGGGGGACGAGGCGTATCGTTCGTGAAATTTGGATGTCTTGGTCTTGTTTAGTTAGCCTTTCATTATCTTGAAAGTATAGGCGTATTCTCCTCAATTAAAGATCGCCTTTAAAGACGTCTGGATGAGAATAGTCATTACACCAAACTTTGCCTGTTTTGTGTCAGTCGAACTCATATCTTATAAATTCGGGCTTTTCTAACTAAGACCTAAATGACCGCATTAAAGCAGTTTTTTAAATGAATATAATTATTATTAAATCAAAATTTGGTTTATGGATAAACCAAAAAACCACTATCAGGTTTGTCAATTTATTCCAATCAACCTTTGCCTTAAATATACCGAGATCTCATATTTTCTTACCCACAGGTGAAAGCAACTAGAAACAATATTTAATAAATGGAATTAATTGTCTAAAATATTTATCCTCGAACACTTAAAAGCACCTGAAATCTTGCACCTCGTCTATTATTTGAAGGCTTAGTGAGGCTCTTTAATTGGTTAAATTGGCTTAAACAGTGTGTTTACTGGTACGTTACCTCAGTGATTTTTTAAAAAAGAGGAAAGTGGAGTAATGTTTGAGTACGGTGTAGCCAATGATGGGGAGTGGTGGCGGTGGTGGTTGGAAAAGAAGGTGAGCGAATTGCTCAGACGAGGACAAGCGCTCGATCGGTCAGGACACACACTGAGTCAGCTAACTGACCACACATTGCGCTTTCTACGTTTTGAGTTCAAATCAGGGGTGTGCGATAGACTTACCTCCACTTGGTGCACCCTGGTCACCGTATACTCATAAGGCAAAAAAGTCTATTTTTCGGCAGATGACTTCTGACTTCAAATTACCATCGCCCCACTGCATGTCATATTCCACCACTTCCACAGTAATCACTTCACCTTTTTTCTACCTTTGTGTCCATCTCTTTTACATCTTTGAAACACTCTTCTGTTCCCCCAACCAACACGAATTTTTTCACTTTGATGTTCCTTCAACTCTATGAAGCCTGAAGTCAACTAAAGGGCTAATGATAATTATCAAAACTTTACCAAATAAAGTTCAAATCAATGACCTCGGTTCACGAGCAACATATTGGAGTCTCAAGGGATGAACAAGAATGGAAGGTGGGGTGTACCTATCGTCTAAAAAGCTAAGAAGAGAAATTTAGCGAACAACTTCCAGCCCAACATTTGTCTGTAGAGCTAAATTACAGACTTTCCATCAACTTGAGTGGTAATCAGAGGTTCTTTTATGATACAAGAACTCAAAATGGCCGCGTCTATTTGAGATATATCAATATATGCATTTGTCTACCCTAGCATGAGAGAGGATAGAAAATTCCAGCATTTTATTTTTCTACGCTCAGCTCAGTTTTTTTTCAAGGGAATTTTTAAAGAGACTTCAGCGCTGTGGATGCCATTCGGATAGATGTCTTTCAATTGACCCAATCTTCTGAATCACTGAAAACATACAGAAATCCTGCCGATGTAAAGTGCGTGCACATATTCCAGAACAATCTCATATAATGATAATCAGCTTAAAAGATTAACGATTTCCTCTAAATTTGCCCATTCAGAGACACAAATCAATATCGTTGGCTATTTTAATCCTGAGAGTGTGGTCAAATCGAAGGCTTTCCACAAGTCCTGTCTCTAGGAAGAACTCCAGAGAGAGAGAGAGAGACGCATCATTGTTGTCAATAGGCTAATTATTTTTATTAATTGTCTTAGCGATTACACCATGCATCTGCTAATACCTTACATTTGTGCTTTATTTGACAAATATTTCTGACATGCTACTCCAGATCTTAACTCTGCAATAAGACCAAAAAAATCACACAAGTACTGCCATTGCTATTTTGTTTGCAGTATTGCGATGGTTAATCATTAAAAGTTAAATTCTTTTCAGTTTCTTGTCTCATTTTAAGAATATTATTATATTCAAATGACAGGTGTTTTAATTGTTATCATTAGCCCTTTAGCTGACTACAGGCTTCGCAGGCGGGGGGGGGGGGGGGGTGGAACATCAAAGTGACAAAAAGTCGTGAGGGGGGGCAGAATAATGATTCACAGATGTAAAAGAGACAGACACAAAGGCAGAGAAAAGGTAAGATGAGTGCTGTGAAAGTGGTCGAATATAACAAGCAGTCGTGCCATGGTAGTTTGAAGGCAGAAGTCAACTGTCAGTTAATAGACTTTATTGCCGTATGAGCATACGTTGCCCAGGGTGCACCACTTAAAGGTAAGTCTATAGTTCCGGCTAAATATGCCCTAAAAACAACCACGGATATTGCGTCAATTTATCAGTGGGATTAACGACAAATCGGTTTGAGAAATCAGTGATTGCGCGTTTGGTGACCTCTAGAGTAATCTCGAGAGCTGAATTCAAGGTGAATTGGCGAATTCGAACTAGAAAATGCGCGGCTGAATTTGATTCGTTCACCAGGAAATCGCCATAAAGCCCTATGCCCACGAAAACGTGTATTCATACGGGAAAAAGTCTAGAAACCGGCAATTGACTTCCCACTTCAAACTACCACGACCCGACTCCATGTCATATTTGACCACTTCCACCTCACTTTGCTTTTTCTCTACCTTTTGCGTCTTTAAATCATTCATCCATTGTTCCCCCTCTCGAATTTTTTTGATTCTTCGTCAGTTTTATACAATTTTCCCCTTTAACTCTGATGTACGTATACTAGTTGCTTATAAACTGCTTCTTCTCATTGTATTCGATTATCAGAAATTAGTCATGCTCAAATGTTATTGCACAGGGTCTGTGTGATTGCCAGATTTACAGAATTAATTGCCATTTGAAAAATAAATAGCTCTTCGATATTTTACAGCCAAAAAATTTCCTTCCTATAGGATCACCAAGCCTTTAATTGGTTTAACAAGACATTTACCCAATTTGGTTTCAGATATGCTGAATTTCCGTTCAAACATGTTCTAAAGCAAAATGTTGACGTATTGAAAGCACTGGTGAAATTGAAATCTCAAAATTGTATGGGCACTAACATTTGCAGATTTTGAGCAATGGAATACTGATTAAAAGTCCTTTCCTACCAAGAAAGTTGATGGCTCAATTGTTTTGATGAAAGTTCATGGTTGGAACGACGTTAAAAAGCCATACTTTTGAGTGCATTCATAGCTAAGGATCATTGAAGAAGTACAATTTTGAGACGTTAGGAAAATGTACAGGCTACATGTTCAATTGCAATTTCAATTTCAAATAAGCTAGATTATGGGCGTGTTCAATTCGGAAATTATAACTGACAATGAATGAGATTATTAAAAATTTGTTTACTTTTACTTTTTTTGCTAAGACGATGTAAACATGCGAGATGGTTTTAGTTCATTCCCCCACATCAAACTAATATGATTTCGAGATTCAAAAACAATCGATCCAAAGGTCAGTAAATTTTTGAAATTTATGCCGCGATTCCGGGTAATTTTAAACCTGTAGGATAATAAACAATTGGAAATTAACTGGCAATCAATTTGATTAGACGCAATTCCTGCACTGGAGACATAATTATATTGACAGATAATCACTGTAATTGGGTTGAAACCGGTATTTAAAAAGCTGAAGTTTATGAAACAGCGAATATTGAATTTTTTGCATATTGAATTTAACTTAAAAAAACGTAATTTACGCATAAATAGAACCAAAGACGTAAAAAAGTAGCAAATATACCTGCAGAAAAAACAATTTATTTTGCATGGTATGAGTCAATGAGATAGAAGACATCATGGGGGGGGAGGGGGTAGGTGGGGGGAGGGGGATACGGGAGAGTTTAAAGTCGGCTATTACTACATATACGACCTTGATAGAGACAAACATACAGGGTAATGAGAAGTGAAGCAATTAGAATCTAGTAAGTGGAGGATTGCCAGACCAAAATGACAAATCGGCCGTACTTGAAGTGGAAGAGACGCTCAGGTGTGTAGGCGGAGAAGGCCGAGTAGGAACCAGTAAGAATTACGACTTGCCAGACGCCTTCATAGCGTTGTTTGAGGGCTCGGCTGAGTTGAGTGACAATTGGTTCAAGTTTTACCGGACGGCTGGAGTCGTTGTTATACTCACGAAGTGGGTCATCGATCTGGTCAACAATGAAAGATTTCATATCATTTGGCATATCAGCCTTCAAAACTTCAACTTCTACTCGGGACATGTTTGTCTGTGTCTTGGCAAAAAACCTCCAAAATCGTATGAGAAGTGAGAATTTCTGCAATTTATACCTGCACCAATCGATCTAACCAATCAGAATAACTGTGTGTGCACTTGAGTATGTGTGCTGTGACTGTGCTCCAATCAGAAAGAACATCGGTGTTTACGTCTCAAGCATGACCCTAGAATTAATATCTGAGTCAACCGCAATGTAGATGCTTTGGATTTCAATATTTTTGTGCTCTTTTAAAGTTTTCAACGCTTAGCACCTTTTTCAAGCCATTATCTCAAAAATAATTGACTTTTAAAATTCAAAGGGGCTTTTATTGCCAGATTTTGAGTGACATTTTGCGAATCATTAGGAATTATTTGTTAAAAATGCGAAAAAATGACTGGCAATTTTGTGATTAATTGCATAATCGTTGCAACAAATTAATTAATAATCCAAAAAATTCAACATATCTAAAAGGTTTAGCCATTTATTTCAGGTTTTAATTAAAGTTAAATTAGCAAATGTGATCATACCCAACTTGACAATCTTTTGTCTTTATGGATGATGGTTCTTGGCTCTGACGTTCAAAGTTATGGAGACTCGCCTCCCAACCCCCCTAATTCCCCTAGGGCAGCCCCATACAAAGTGCAAATCTGAGAGTGCAAAAACGAAGACACTGGTAGCATGATAAGGTTGTTCTCTATGCACCCACTGTGCTAGGCAAGATCTCTAATCTAATTGGACTGGTCTATCAACCCAACCACTTAACTATCTCTCATTCACATAGGTACAATTTCATTTCGATATAAATTTCGCGACTACGTTAGACTGAGTAAATGACTAGAATTAATTGTTTTTTTCTTGTTTTGCGTAGAATAAATGCACTTTGTTAACGCTTTATGGGAGCAATTTTGACCTCCCGAAACCTGCTTTTACTTCCATTAACAATTAAAACAAATAGACAAATTTTGAGAAAATGCATTTTGGTAAGTTGATAAAGAATGTAAACTGGGTTTTGGTTACAAAATTTTCCAAAATGAATTATTCTGAGAAAATCCTACATGAAATTTCTATTTCAAAAAAATCGATACTATTAAGCACTATTTCACCAAGGGGGTCAATTACCATTTTGTATGATATCACAATAATATATAATGCAACCACTGTTTACTCTAGTTATTTGACATGCTATTCTTCGATATTTACTATTTTTTCACATTAAATACTATTATTTTGACGTGGATTCGAAGTGACACTTCACTAATAAAAATCATTTTTGGCTTCACTTAGAGGCTCTTAACTTATCTGAACACTCTTAGTAAAATTCATACCTATCTTAATGCCAGAAATGTGTGTTTCGACTCACCTCAAGTAAGTTCATGAGAAATTTGCAAGGGTTTACATCACAATTAATGAGTTTCGTGCCTTGAAAATGACGGTTGCTTCGTATGTCTGGGGTTTTATTTGCCAATTTATTCATAATTTCAAAATATTACATTTAAAATATTACTTAATAATCTTATTAATACAAAATAAATGCGCAATTGAGGGGTAATCATGGATCGCTAAATTTTATATCAATTTAAATTTCCTGAATTTTGGATAAACGGAATACATGACATAATTAGGATATTTGAGTCGGGTAAAAAAACAATCACCTAAATGTAAAAATATTTCAAATAATAAGAATGAATCGTTCATTTTTGGTTGGATTTTACGTATGTTGCGAATCATGAATCTAAAGTTACTGAAGTCGTAGACCAATAATATTTGACCTGAGTTGATATATCTCGATAAATGATAAAATGGAATAGGAAGTCATTTGGTAGACTATTGCGTTGGGACTATAAATTTTAGTGAAAGTCAAAAGATGCACCTGTTAAAAAATAAATAAAATTCAATTAGGCTCTCATTTGCTGACTCAATGTGAGTGAGTCGGGTTCCTTTATGGATGAGTGACGTTTGAAACCAATTGGAAAGCCGACAGTACACAGAACTGTAGCGGATTGCTATACTAGTAAAGCCTAACTGACTCAGAAATCTCTGTGGCAGATTCTCCAACATCTAGCTAGACTCCCAGAACTAGCTAAGCTATAGCCCACCTATAAAGAAAACAGACGTATAGCACTAAACACGTTTATTCAGTGAGGATATTGTGAGTAAAGTGTACACTCAGAGAGCTTAATCATGAAGAGCATGGCGAATTAGGTTAAACAAACGGAGGCTACTGATTGGCCACTGTTTGTACGATTGCTGCACAGTGAGTTGTACGGCCGCACCTTCCAATCCTGGCGTGCAGGCATGAGATGACGCATTAAGCGATGACGTGTCCCACAGAACTGAACAAATGGAAGAATTATTTTGGTTGGAATATAAAAGATTGATTTGAGGTTTGCCTTTAAGAGCGCCCACTTAAATTTAACTTTCAGATAAGCAATTTTTAAGAAATTTCACTATGACAATATAAATTTGAATTCTAATCCTAACTGGGTCCAGAAGGCAGATGGAAGAATGGTATGAAATTTCCGTAAGTTTGAAAAATTCCATTCTCATCGAAATTGTGTTCTCACTACTTCGAGTCCCAATATTCAATTGCCATAATTACGAAATTACAAAATGAATACTTCAGAATGCGTATCTAAGGTTTATGAAAGGCAAAAATTATATGTTTGGAAGTACTTATCAAGCACCGTGAACTGAATTTTCACGAAACAGGTAATTATTGTTTCAAAATCCCCCCACCCCCCGATTGACAAAATAGAACAGTATTGATCTATAATGACTCAAGGAATGCACTTCGATCTTCTGCGCTATAACAGCCTTGGAACATGGTCACCTTAATTTGACACGGACTTTGGATAAGCTTTTATTTTTATATAATCCTATCAATGAAATTTAGCGAACATACTGCTTGCCTCGATGTGAATTAGTTTAAATGTTTTTGGAAATAATTATATCTGCAGTTTACGACTTGTGGTTCCAACAAAAATATATAGTGGAATTAAAAACAATGCAGTTTCCCTATTTGCAATTAATCTTCTCCAAGCCGTTAATTACATTGCCTAATTGAAATCGATCCAAATGCATTTTAAAATAACATCAAATGTAAAATTATTTCAGTTGAGATTCAATAATTAAATTAATCTTATTATGAAATAAATTTGTATACTTTAATCACCATAATAGCAAATGGAATCTGGCTAAATATCTAGGGAGTATTTCAATAAAATTAAATCAATGCACAAAAATCTACTCTAGTTCTCATATCAATAAGAAAATTATACTTGGAGGTTCTAACAACACTTTTGTAATCGATTTTAAAACTAATAAATATTCTTTCTAATGATATTGCCTCCTTTGTAAGTGTGAACCAGTGTAAGTGCATAATGTCGGTTAAATATTACTTACGGTTGTGACCGTACGGTTCTCTTTCAAAATAAGCTATATTGGTACTAGACACGTCACGGAAGGCTCAATTGTCGTTTGAAACATGTTCAATACGTGCCTATAGCCTTCGTCTGATACCACCACCAAAACCCATCACGTTGGCGGCATCGGTCTGCTGTGAGACATGCGTGAGTGCGGTTGGGTACATTTTCAAAAGAAAAATAATTTGAGCTATTAAGAGTTAAAATTATTGTAAAATCGAATGTGTTCTGTGGGACACGTCATCGCTTAATGCGTCATCTCATGCCTGCACGCCAGGATTGGAAGGTGCGGCCGTACAACTCACTGTGCAGCAATCGTACAAACAGTGGCCAATCAGTAGCCTCCGTTTGTTTAACCTATTTCCCCATCCTGGTCATGATTAAGCTCCCTGAGTGTACACTTTACTCACAATATCCTCACTGAATAAACGTGTTAAGTGATATACGTCTGTTTTCTTTATAGGTGAGCTATAGCTTAGCTAGTTCTAGGAGTCTAGCTAGATGTTGGAGAATCTGCCACAGAGATTTCTGAGTCAGTCTGGCTTTACTAGTGTGGCATAGCATGTCCATAACATTGTCAAACCTGCCTTCCTAATGCTTTCAACGAAGCCAATAGGAAATGAGGATATATCCGAATAATGCGTCGAATTAATGGTATGTTATCTGCAAATTTATCAAATGAATTTATATAAATTATAGAGCCTTAATATATTTGCATTGGAGTGTGAAAAGGTGGGATTGAATTGAGCACAAATCGCGCAGCTTGAGAATGTATTGAGTTACGAATTTGCACACAAGATTGGCAATGTATTAGGGCTCAATATTTCCTAAATGCCTCAAATATCATTGTGAAAACATTCAGGCATTAAGAAAATCCGAAAATTCCCAATACTTATGAGAGAGGCTGAGATGTGAGAGTAGGCATCTGTCTTTCCACATAATAAGAGGTCGCTCGCACTAAACCCCCACAGACTTTCGTGTTGGCAACAAATTGATGACAAACAGGTTGTGAATGGAGAGATGTGTCCAAGTATTGGCGACAACTAAAAATGTAAAGAAAGTGTTTAAACCTGTGACCAGTGTTAAAACACTCAATTTTGGTTCCCATTGTAACGATATCTTCAAATATTTCCTTAAACTCAGTTTCAAGTAATTGGGGTGTGCGATAGACCAACCTCCACGCGGTCCACCCTGAGCAACGTATACTCACACGGCAAAAATGTCTATTAACCGGCAGTTCAATTCTCACTTCAAACTACCATCACCCCACTGTGTGTCATATTCGACTTGTAACACTCTGCCTTTGTGTCTCTCTCTTTTACATCTATGAAACACTCTTCTGTTCCCCCCCCTGCCTTTGTGCCTGTCTCTTTTACATCTTTGAATCACTCAACCTTTATTACTGTCTCTTGTACATGTGGGAGTCACTATTCTTTTCCGTCCTCTTAAATTTTTCTCATTTTAATGTTCCTTCCCTCTGTGAAGCCTGAAGTCAGCTAAAGGTTTACTATTAGCTATCAAAACGCCTGCCATTTGATATAAATTCTTTCAAGTATTTTAATCATCACGGTAATACAAGTTGAT